TAGGGTCAGGGGGGCCTTGGCAGGGGAGTAGTAGGTTTGGGGTGATTAGAGGGGTGAAAGGGACCCTTCAAGGGGTTAGTGCCTCTGGGTGGGCCTGGGGGAGGTAGTGTGTTGGGGTGGGCAAGGCCAGGGGCAATTAGTGAGGTGGGGGAGTCCATGGGCATGCCCCCCCCCCTCACCTCCTCTACCCCTTGCAGTAACAGATTTTGATGTGAACGTGTACTATCGGGGCCACCGGGTTCTGCATACGCTGGTGTCCAGTTCCCAGGGGCTGCGTCTGGTGTTCCCCCAGTCCAGCCCCAGCCCTGCCCCAGAGCTGACGGATGTGGTGCTGCCTGACCCGGAGTCCCTACCCGACAGGGTGCAGGCCAACTACACAGGGCGCTTGCTCCGGGGGCTGGGCCCTGGCGTGGTGCTGCGGGCCAAGGGGCGTATCCTGGGGGGCTGCCGGCTGGGGCGCTGCCATGCCTTCTGGGGGCTCACAGCAACGCCTGCACCTGGAGCGCTTGGTGGGGAGATCCCCAAGGAGAGCTTCACGCCACTCTACAGCCTACCCGAGTTCATCCAAGGTACGGTGGGGATGTGGGGCCCCAAGGAGGGTGCTGAGAGGGAATAGACCCCAGGCCAGAGGGGGGGTGGCACTGCGTGGCTGACATTGAAGTGGGCTGGGGCTGCAGACACCGGGGTGGGGTGACCATCCAGAACCACCTGGGGCATCAAGCATATAGCCCATGGGCTGTGTGCAGCCCAGAGACCTGTGCATACCCAGATTGGGGTCTAGGGGCCTGGCCCCACCCCCTCTGACCTCTTGTGGTGCACTGGGCTTGCTCCACAGGAGCCTCTTCTGCACCCATACATGGAGATTGATCTCCAGGGACCTGGTACTGTCCCTGTGTATTGGGATTGGTCCCTGGGGTCCTGGCATCATTCCCTCTACCTCCTGCCCCCACACACCAGGATTGGTCCTGGGGTCCTGGTACCACCCAATTCTCCCATGAGCCAGGATTGGCTCCCAGGGGCCTGGCACTGCCCCTCCTGCCCCTGGGTGGCTGGATTGGTTGTGGGGAGGGGCCTGGCACCAACCACCCCCTTCAATGAGCATTGGGTCCCCTTGGACCTAGCACCATCCCATGCATGCTGGAATTGGGTCTTGGGCCTGGCACATGTCCCCTTCTGGCCCCCTGCACTAGGATGGGGGTCCCTGGGGCCTGCTGCTACCCCCCCAATCACTTCCTGATACTGTTTCCCTGGCCCTGTGCCACAACTGTTGCCCTGGATCCACTGGCAACAGTTGAAGATCAGCAGGAGGAAATTCAACAAGGACCAGTGCCCAGTGCTGCACTTGGGATGGAATAGTAACATACACAGATGCAGGCTGGGGACACTGCAGAGAAGGACCAGGCACTGATAGTGAACCATAAGCTGAATAAGAGCCATCAGTGTGTTCTTATTGTAAAGAAAAGCCAAAGGAGGGTCACTTGCACATCAAGGGAAGAGGGAAGCAAGTTTTCCACTCTGTTTTGCACCCAGGAGGCCTCCCTTGGAGCATAGCGCCCAACTCTGAGCCCTGTGTTTCAAGAAAGATGTGAGCAGTTTGGAAAGAATCCAGTGCAGCAAACGATGGGGGGCCTAAGAGGCAGGACTGATGGGGAAAGGCTGAAAGAACTGGGGTTGTTTAGTCAGGAGAAGAGAAGGCTGGTGGAGGTTTGATCACAGTCTTCAAATACCTAAAGGACAATGACAGAGAGGATGGAGATGGGCTTTTCGCTGCAGCTGCAGGGGACAGGACTAGGAGCAATGGCCTCAAGCTGCAGCAGGGAGGATTCAGGTTGAGGAGTTACTTTCTGACTCAGGGTGGTCAAGCATTAGGACAGGCTGCTTAGAGAGGTTGTGGCATCTCCATCCTTGGAAGCTCTCAATAGCAGGTTGGAGAGACACTTGGCTGGGATGGTTTAGTCCAGTGTGATCCTGCCTTGAGCATCCAAAATGATCAGGGGCCTGGAGCAGCTGTCATACCAGGAGAGACTAATGAAGGAACCCTTCATTCTGGAAAGGAGAAGGCTAGGGAGTCTGGGGTGTACAATAGATGTCTATAAAAATCACAAAGGGCATGGGCCCAGTGCACAGGGAACTGTTGTTCACTAAGTCCCAGAGCACTATGACTGAAGGGCAACCTAGTAGGTGATAGTTTTAGAACTAAGAGAAAGTACTTTTTTTTTCTGCAATGCATTGTTAACTTGTGGAATTTGTTGCTGCAGGAGGCGGTGAAGACAGAGCAGTGCCAGGATTAAAAGGGAGTGGATAATTGAAGTGTGGAACTTGATGCCACCAGAGGCTGTGGACACTGATAGTTTAGCCAGTCAAGAAGGGATTGGACACTTTCTTGGAGGAAAGAGACATCCATAACTATTGAGTGTGGGAGGGAGGGGCATGGCCTCTGAATCAGACCTTCCTGAATCTTAAATGCTGGAGGTTGCAAGTGAAAGGGGGGGGGGGGGGGGGGGGGGGGTGGGGGCACAATTACCCTGCTCATACCCAGTTCACTCCTTTTCATCATTTGCTTTCTACCTCTGTGTGACAGGGGACTGAGCAAGGTGGACCTATGAGCTGACCCAGCTCTTACTAATTCATGGATGAGATCTCTTCTTAGCTGTTGAACTGAATGGCTGGAGGTGCTTCCTCTGGCACCTCTAAGCCAATAAATAGTGGAAGCCAGGGAGGGTACTGAATAGGGACCACTCGAGCTGTACAATTTGATGCCCTGTCTAGCACCCAATTCTGCCACTGTTGGAGACAAGACCCCATATGGCTCTGCTGATATTCTTATGAGCAGGGAGCTGGGCTAGATGTGATCTCATGAAGTCCCTTCCAGCCCTACAATCTCATGAATGGGGGGTGCTGGAAAGTGGCCTTAGTGCTTCTCTCCCTGGGATCCAGCAGGGAGAGAGCGGGGCAGGGAGGTGGGTGCCAGTGGCCACCTCCCCTCTCCAGTGGTTGCCTCATCCCCCCTCAGATCTGATTGGGTTCATGGAGGGCCAGCGCAGGTCCCCTGACTATGAGCTGTGGCTGTGCCTGGGGGAAAAGTGGCCAGACACCGAGCGGCCCTGGAACCGGAAACTCATCATGGTGCAGGTAGGGATCCCTAACCTCCTGCAGCTGAGTCTGGTGGGGAACAGTGAGCGTCTCCATCACCCTGTTCCCAATGACCCTGAAAGTCAGCATGGAGACAGGGACCCCAAATGCCTTCTCCCCACCCTGCCTGGACCCTGCAGATGAGCATGGGGGTGGGGAGGGAACCAAGACACCTCCCAAGCCTATCAGCTGGGCCCTGGGAGCCTGACCCAGCCCTGCCCTTCCCTACCTTGTTGCAGGTGGTGTTGGTGGCCCTGCAGAAGTTGCATGAGCTGAGCCAGGCAGGTGGTGCCTCATCTCTGCGCAGCTCGGAGCTGAACCTGCACATCTCAGACTCACTGGGTGACGGGGGGCTGCTGGGGGCCCTGCGCAGCTGGGAGGAGCTCATGGATACCCAGCCCTGAGCCAGCCCCCACCCCTGCCTTGATGGATAGATGGGCTCCAGCCCCCCCCACATGGATGGGCAGACAGACAAGCCCTAGCCCTGAGTTTGGACATACTGATGCATAAGACAACCACCATCTTCCACCCTTCCCCCAGCCTGGACAGACAGATAGCTCTCACCCCCACCTGGACAGACAGCCAGCCCCCACTCTGGACAGACAGCTCCCACCTCCTGCCTGGATAGACAGCTGCATGAACAACCACCATCTCCTGCCTGGATGTACAGACAGCCAGACCACTGCTTCCCAACTTTCAGGAGCTAGACTGATGCAGCTATACCCCACTGCCCCCACTACCAGAGCTGGACAGACTCAGGGACCAAGATCACCTTGTCTTACAGGTGGATGGACACAGGCCACCAACTTCCCCCCCATGCTGGACAAAGCCCAGGACATCCCCCAAACCCTGCCTTTTGTCTGAGAAAGCCATGGGCCTCTTGCCATGGCTGGATGTACACACAGACAGATATACAAGGCCAGAAGATCCAACAACCCCTCCTTCCCCTGACCACACTGAAATGGGGTGAGATTCCCGCAGGATCCTGAGAAGCAAGCCCAGTCCACGGCGGGAGGGGACACAAAGACCCTCTCCCCATGGGTGAGGCACAGCCAGACTGCAGACAAAGAATAAAGAGATGAAGCTGTTCTGTTGCATGTTCCTCCTCCGAGCCTCAAATAAAAAGCCAGGAGTCCTGGCTCCCCCCTATTCATCTAACCCACCAGGCCCCCATTCCCCTGCCAAAGCTGGGAAAGGACCCAGGAGTCCTGGCTCCCTGAACTACACTCATCTCTCCATCTGTAGATTAAATGGAAGACTCTAAAGATCAGCACAGATGGATGCTGTTCCCTGGGAAGCATCTGAGGGACAGCACAGCTCCCTACTGGGTACACCCCAGCTGTGACTGGGGAAGAGGTCCCCCTGGCTGGGCATGGAAGGCCAAAAAACAACCTCCCTGACCCACCACCTAAGGCTGGGGAAAGCCCTGCCAATAAGCAGAGACAGAGCCCAAGACAAGTGGCTAACAGTTTATGAGGAGACAGACGGGGGCTGGAAAGGGGGAGGGTTATACAGAAATGGGGGTGTTACCAGCTGCTGGTGGGGTGCAGAGAAGGGCTCATCCCTGCCCCCTACTTTGAGCACAGTCCTGGGGGAGGTGGTGAGGGAATGGACAGCTCCCTCCCCCACACACACTTCCCCCCTCATCCCCCGCCTTGGGAAGGGAAGCTTCAAATAAAACCATGCTAAAATGAATAAAACATGAAGGGGAGGGGCCTACCCCCCTCCCTGGAAATCAGCCCTCCCCACAACTCAGGGGCAAGGGGCTGAGGGGGTCCCCCAAAGCCAGGGCACCTCTCCCCCTCCATCCTGCCCAGACGTATTTACAGAGTAAAATTATTCTTGCTCCAAACCTTTTTGTGGGGGGAGACTAAGAGCCGCCCAACACCAGGGGAGACCCAAAAACTAGGTGGAGACCCCCGCTCAGAGTCCCAGAGAACGGGGCAGGAATCTCAGCCCCCACTCCCCTTACCGATATATCCAGGCTGAGGGGGGATGGGGAGGGTCCTGTGGTTGCATAAGGGGCGCTGAAGTGGCAGGAGCCAGGCGCAGGCTCAGAGGGGGGGCATGGGCAGGGGGACCTTGTCCAGTGCCCCGAGGTCCTTGGGGCCCCCTGGCTCATCCTCCATGCGCCGCCCGTGTTTCCGGAAGTATTTGTAGCGCTGCACATAAGCCTTCACCAGGTTGTTCACCTTCACTGGGTTGATCTCGCCGCTGCGGCTGTGGCAGATCTGGAGCGGGGGGTGGTGAATGGGGAGGAGATGGGGATACCTCACCCCAACTCGCATCCCTCTATATGCCCTACCAGCCCTGCTGATGTGTGTCCCCCACTCCCAAGCTGCCAACCCTATACCCAAGTCTTCGGTTCCCACCAGCCCTCCTGGTCCCCCCCACTCCTGACCCTCAGCCCCCTGTCCTGCAGTGCTCCCCTCAACCCTCTAAGCCCAGCCCCTCCCTCCTGACCCATAGGCCCCTGAACCCCTAGCCCTGCCATGCCCCTCCATCCCAACCTGCAGCCCCCTGCCCCCTTGAGCCCTGGTGGTGCCCCTCACTCCCAACCCACAACCGCCTGTCTCCCCAGCTCTGTCAGTGCCCCTCACTTTCAATCCGCAACTCCCTGCTGTCTCCAGCCTTGCTGGTGCCCCTTACTCCTGACCCACAGCCTCTTGCTCCCCAGCCCTACCTTGTGCACGGCCTTGCGCAGGATGTCCTTGTACTCGTCCTTGGTGATTTCCTTCTTCTGGTAGTAGGGTTTGATGGCCAGCTTCACCTCTTCCACGGCTCTCTCCTGTGTGTGCAGCTTCTTCAGATACTGGGGAGCAAGGCAAGGGAGACAGCGGTCAGCTTGCTGGGGGGGGGGTGTGGGTGACTCCTCCCCACTGCCCAGACTTGGGCCCTCCATCTCAGGAGAGACAGCCTTGACCCTATGCCATGGGGATGCAGTTCTGAGACCCAAGGCCCCACTGGGACCAAATGCTAGGGTGTCTGGATGCTCCCAGACACACACCATGGTATTGTGCAAGTCCATTGGTATCCCCCACCCCCTTTGCTGAAGGGGTGTGCCCAGGTGATTAATTTGCCTAGAAATCAGGATTTCTCCCATAAAATAACTGAGAAACCAAAGGGTTTATAAAGAGGAAGAACAAATCATAGAATCATAGAGATGTCGGCTGGAAGGGACCTTGAGGTTGCATCCCCTACAAATCCATCGACTAACCTCTTAGCAAAACTACTATCAATCCTGACACAACACAAGACATTGCACCCGAACCTGCCACAAGTGAAGCAGGAGGACCAAGGCAGTCAACATCCTGCTGCTGGAAAAGGTTGTCAATATATGCTCAAGAGATCCCAGATAGAAGCCACATCCCCACTACAGAGGAAGGCCCCCACAGTCTGCACCAATCTGACCAGGGGCTAAAATTCTTTCCTGACGCCAACAAGGGTGATCAGTCTGACCCTGAGCAGGGGGGCAAGACCCGCTAGCCAGGAACCTCCAGCGTCAAGTCCCAGCATACAGAGAGAGAGAGAACTACCAGCAGGCCCTCAGCTTCCACGATGCCCTCTACACCTACAGGAGGGTGGCGGGATTGTTGATGAGCCCCAAAGCTGGTGCTGCTTCCCACAAAATCCCCACCAAGTCTAATAACACTCCCCACAATGAGGTCCCCCACTGTGGTTACTCTCAACAAGTGTGGATGCAGGAGTTTCCACAGGTGCCAGGTGCTCTCCTTCCTCTGGGAGTGGGGGTACTCTGTGATTTTCCTTTTGGAGACCCACACAACTCTGGCTGCTGAAGTCAACTGGCAGCTGGAAGGGGGAGACAGGGTCTACTTCAGCCACCTCATGGGGACATCCTGTGGGGTGGGCCACCCTATTCTCTCCGAGCTTGCAGCCAGAAGTCCTTCCTGCCTTTGAGGTAGTGCCAGGCCACCTGCTTCATTTCTGGGTCTGAGTACAGGGGTTCATTTTCAACCTGGTAAACATCTATGTCTCTGTGCATGACTCAGAGATGGCCCATTTATATCAGCAGGCGGCTGCCTGCCTTGGGACCCCAAGCCCTCACAAGCATCTGGTCCTGGGTGGTGACTTTAATGTCACCCTTGAGGCACAGGACTGCACTGGCAGGACCACCATGGGTGTCCTCAGGGAGGTCATCACTGACCACTCCCTAGTGGATGTTTGGTGTGCCTAGCACACCACTCCTGGTTGGACCGAATCTACATGTCTGAACCAACCATCCAAGTCCACGCCTCCAGCACCAGGCCGGCCCCCATTTAGTTTGTTTGGGTCATGCTGCAGCCCAAGCATCTGGGGCTGGCCTACTGGCACTTCAACAACAGCCTGCTGGAGGTCGTGGGCTCTGTGGCTGCCTTCTGGGAGTTTTGGCTGGTCCACTGCAAGAAGTAGCAGACCTTTCCCTTGGCTCAGAGATGGTGGGACATGGGAAAGGTGTGCAGTGGGCAGTACTGTCACTGCTACACTCGGGCACATATGACAGTGGGAGGTGGCTAGAGAGCAGCTTGAGAGGGAAGTGCTGGAGCTGGAGAGGTGCCCAGGTGCTGACACACACGGTACTGGGAAAAGCAGGAAGAACTTTGAGCTCTGAACTGCCATGTCTGCATCACATTCATCCACTTATGCATCAAGCTTCTCCATGAGATGGACCGTAGCTCCTGCTTCTTCTACACCCTGAAGAGGAGGGGTGCCAAAAAGTATATCACTTGCCTTCTGGAGGAAGATGGCACCTTTCTCACAGATCCTAGTGAGCTGCAAAAAAAGGGCAAGGGCTTTCTACACAACATTCTTTTCACCGAATCCGACTGATGCCAATGCCAATGCCTGCCAGGTCCTGTGGGGTCAGCTTGAGTGACTGGGACTGGCTAGAGGGTCCTTTCGCCCTGCCTGAGCTTGTAGATGCCCTCTGCCTGATGCCCACCAACAAAGTGCCAGGCACTGACAAGTTGACTGCTGAGTTCTAATGTGCCTTCTGGGACATCCTCAGCCTGAACCTTGCCACGGTTAGGGCTGAGTCTGAGGGGAACAGGGAACTTCCCCTGTCATGCAGGAGGGCTGTCCTGACCCTCCTGCCCAAGAAGGGGGACCCCTTCAACTTGAGGAACTGGCATCCAGTCTCACTCCTCTGTATGGACTATAAGGTCATAGTGATAACCCATTTTTGCTGTGTTGGAGGTCCTTGCAGCAGGACATGATTCACCTCGACCAGATGTACATGGTTCAAGGAGGGTCCATCTTCAATAACCTATACCTGATGTGGGACCTCCTCAAGCTTACTCACAGGGACAGCCTTTCATTCGCCCTCATGTTCCTTGATCAGAAGCCGGTATCTGACACAGTGGATCACAGGTACCTCACAGGCAAGCTGAGGACATCTGGCTTCAGTCCCCGCTTCCTGCGGTTTCTCCAGGTGCTGTATGCCTCCTCCAGAGTGCATGATCAAGTTCAACTAGATGTTGACAGAGTTCATCCTATTCAGGCAGGGAGTGTGTCAAGGTTGTCTGCTTTCAGGCCAGCTCTACATCATCGCTCCTGCACAAGTGGGTGGCGGGGCTGGTGCTTGAGGAGCTGCCCATGAGTGTGGTCCTGCCAGCATATGCTGATGACATGCTCCTCACCATCAAGGACCTGGGCAACCTGGCACAAGTGGAGACCTACCAGTCCATCTACTTGGTGGCCTCCTCTGTCCAAGTCAACTAGGTCAAGAACTCTGGCTTAACACGAGTGCCTCTGGCTCACTCCCTCCTGCACTCCAAAACACCCAATGGAGTGCAGGCTCGCTCTTATAATTGGGGGTTTACTTGTACCCCAGTTGCCCCTTCCTGCCAGAGAACTGGCACCAGCTGGAGGTCATGGTGTCTGAGTAGCTGTGGCATGGGTAGGCCTGCTGCAGTGCCTCTCCCTTTGTGGAAGGGTGCTAGTCATCAACCAGCTGGTCATGTCCATGCTCTGGCACTGCTTCAACACCCTGGCCATGCCATCAGAACTCCTGGCCAGTGTCCAGAGATAGGTGCTGGGGTTCTTCTGGTTGGGACAGCACTGGGTCTCTGCAGGTGTCCTGAGCCTCCCCTTGTAGGATGGTGGGCAGGGCCTGGTTTGTTTCTGCAGCCAGGTCCACACCTTCCACCTTCAGGCCCTGCAAAGGCTTGTGTACAGTGCTGGTAGCCAGGTGATGTAATGCCTGATCAACTGCAGTTTCCTCCGCTGCCTCTGAGGGTTCCAATATGACCAGCAGCTCTTCTACTTGTGACGGCTCCCCAAGCAAGACCTAGAAGAGCTGCCAGATTTCTACCAGGACCT